AGGTGGCGAAGGTACACAGGCAGGGAGGTTACCGAGAACCATTTTCATCTTCTTCAGTCTTTGTTTTCTGTAACGAGCGCACTTTTTTAAAATAAGAAAATGATATATCTTTTTCAGGAAAGGGGGGGAAAGCAGGAAGGAAGGAAGGAAGAGAAAGGAAAGGCAAGAAAGGAGGAAGGAGGGAGGGAGGGAGAAGAAGGGTGTTGAGACTCCATTGGAGCTGGGGTGGGGGCTGAGGAAAGGGCGGGAACCTCTGGAACACACGGAGCTCTCCCAGCTGTGGCCTGGACGCCTGGAAAAGCTCTGCGCTCTGCTTCGGGGATCACACCCGAGAGGGGTTAGACCCTCAAGTGGCCAGTGGGGACCCAGATTAGTCCGGCCCAGCCTCAGCGGGGCAGCTGTGTTCTTAGGGCGGGTCTTGCCCAGCTCCAGGCGGTGGTTCCTCAGCGTTCCCTGTGTTTATTCTTCCTGAGGTTTCAGGATGAGAAGTGCGCGCAGGGGGTGGGGTGGGAGGGGGGGACGCAGAAATACCATCTGTGCTGATTTTTTCCTTAAAAGTTATTTTTCAATTGAAGTATTTTCAAAGCAAAAAATATACAATAAAGAATAATTCACCGATGTTAGGGTGTCAGTTCCAAGGGTTTTCAGGGAAGAGGGTAGGAGGGAGGGGGCTGCCCGGGGAATCAGGGGACAAGTTGGTGGGGCAAGGGCCTGTCTTCCTCTTATCTATGGGTCCCTACTCATCCTTGCGTGCGCGCGCGCGCCATGCATCAATCAAGAAGTGTGCCACACAACCCTATGCCCCCGGGCTCAGACCGCAGAGTTCACTGTCCTTTCACATCAGGACTCGACTCTGACCTCGGACTCCCTTACTTTCTTCTCACTTTTTCTGTTAAGATGTCACCAGCAGAGTGAAGTGCAGGGTGCGCTGATCTCTCTCTCTCTTGTGCTTTGGAAGCTTCCTTCAACTCACTCCGGGAGCTGCCCCAGGCGGGGTGGGGTGGTGGGGTGGTGGGGGTGGGGAGGAGGGCGGGGTGGGGGGGGATTGAGGGTGAGCCTTGTGCGAGAGCTCCTGGCCATGACTGCACAGGGATGGGTGCCAGCACCACGACCTCCCTCCCCACCCTCCTCCGCCCCCGGTCTTTCCCATCCTCCTTGTCTTCTCTGCTTCCCATTCCCAAGCAGGGTGAGGGGTCGGCGGCAGTGAGGTTTGGCTGGGGCGTGGGAAGCGGGAGGAGGAGTGTCCTGGGCGCGGGCATCCCTCAGCATTCCCCGTCCCAGCAATGGGAGCTGCGTCAGAGTAATGGAGCCGCTGTGCCCCGGTGTGACTTTAGTCGCACCTCCCAGCAACCTGGAGGGGGGGGTCAGAGACAATTCGGTAGGTGAGGCAGGCACAAAGGGCTGGACCAGGGCGCAAGGGCAATTTAGTGGCCGGAAACCCATCCCTTGGAGGTTCTGTCTCTTATCCTGCACTGCCCAAAGCTGGGAGAAGTTAGACGGCACTGTAGTTGTCCTAGTGTGTGTGTGTGTGTGTGTGTGTGTGTGTGTGTGTGTGTGTGCGCGCGCGCGCGCGTGCGCGCGCGCGTGCCCTGACATGAATAAGCGCAGTGTCAAATGAGGGCCTTCTTGTCTCACCTTCTCATGGGCCTCTGCGCCCCGGGGTCTTCTGGCCCCAACTTCTCTGCCCCAGCGTAGCAAGTGTATATGCGTCTGCGGTCCCAGGACAAACCCTTCCCAAGGCATCCATTGCGCCCCCCCACTGCAAGGTCTGGGCTCCTTCGCACCCCTCTTTTCCCCCAGAGTCACTATGGGGACGCAAGGGAGAAATTGGTGCTTAATTCTTCCTGCTTTTCAGAGACACGAGAAAGTAAACGGACCAAGGCAATCAGAACAACTTCCTTCAAGTCTTTATTATTGTAGCTTAAAAGTTTATACACAAGGAATGTTTCCAACACAACACTCACTGACTGGTCTTCACCCCCGCCCCCAATCACAACTCTCTGCTTAGGACTCCCAGGCTCTCCCCCATCTCCCTTCCTTCGAACTACTCCCCCAACCCGCAAGGAGTTATAGCCTCCTTCTGGGGTTCTTCATACCTCGCCAATGCCTCAAGTCACTTCCTTTGGTCCCTAAGCCTACCCCTTACCATGTCCCTCTTCCACCCCATTTTTTGATGGTTCCTTCTGGAACCCAGAGCACTCTCCCCTTCTTACTTTAGGCACTATTTTAGAGCCCTTCTGCAATTCAGAGCCGACCCGTGGTCAAGCCCAGTTAGAGTCGGTTCGTCATCAGCAGTCGGGCTCCAGCGCACCCAAAGCTAGGTGGGGAAAATACCCTGCCCACCCTTTCCCTATCCCGAGCCCCTCCCCCAGCCCAGGGACAAGAAAGAAACACAAAAGCAGCAGGACTCCCTGCATGCGACAGGTGGGTGCCAGGCAATTAGCAAGAGTCTCTGGCGCTGCTGGAACCCAGCTGCGCTCGGGGCGCGCGGGCGTGGCCAACAAGTCGGCGCTGTGGGATGCTCGGGACTGTGGCACACTGCTAGGGAGCAGGTGTGAGAAAGTCCAGCAGGGACAAAGCTGCCAGTTCGAGTCGCAGCAATGCTTCTGAGAGCAAGCCAAGCAGATACAAATACAGCAGAGTCTCATGGATATTAAGCCGTTAGGTGGCTGAGAGCCAGACTCAGCCTGAGTTCTGTGGCTGTGCGCATCTGTGCCATGGGCACCCCAACAGTCTTGACTTCATTTGTAGCGCTAGCATGTGGGCTTCGAAGGCCCGAAGACCCAGCCCTCCAATGTCAGTCACTTGTCCCTTGGTTATTTAGAATCGATGTGGCCTACTACCGTGCAACTGCTCATCATAGTGCTCCAACCAAGTACGCAGCTCAGACACCTGGTACCCGTCCGGGCCACGGCCTCCCTGGTACATGATGGTACCACTCTGGATAACGTAGAGACGCTCAAAATAGGCACCATATGCGGAACTGCTGGAGTTGGCCATGGTGTCCAGGACCAGAGCACAGCCAGGTGCACCTTGTTGAAGTACCCTTGCCGCGCTGACACGGTCCTCTAGGCTTCGGTGCTGTGGGATGGAGTAGGGTGAATCTGTGGTGACCCAGCCGTCGGATGGGTGGGCTTCCTCGATGTAGATGATGAGGAAGTCAACATCACGTTGGTACTTGGTGACCAGACGCTGGAAGGCGCTCATTCGCGCCATGAACGGAGGTCAGGTACAGCTGCCAAAATTGAGCACTAGTGGGCGGCTCCCTTGTGCATAGTCGAGGATGCGCTGACTCTGGAAGCCATCAGGCCGGACGACCTCCGAGTTAGGCGCAGGGCCACCCTCGAAGGCCTGCTTGAAGAAATCCAACTTCTGGCCATGCCACACGGCTTTGAGAGAGGCCAGGGTGCACAGACGGTTGTCGTCTGATACACAGATGGGTGGGTCATCGGCGGGCACCTCCTCGCCTTCACTGTTGAGCTCTACTTCGGGCTCAGGGTGGTCAGGATGTCTACGACGCAGGAAATGCTTGCGGATGCACAAGAAATCTAAAAGCCAGAGCATGAAGGCCGTGCCTAAGAAGCGCGGGAACAGCACGAGGCACGAGGCAGTCTGGGCGCAGAGCCTCAGAGAGTGAAGCAGCAGGGAGCGGATCATGGTGACCGCGGGCCCCGAAGCCCCCCGGGGTCCTTCACCTTCTCCGACCACCAACCGCGAGGCGGCCTGGCGAGGCATCTGGTCTTCGTCGACTCAGGGAGCTCAATTTATAGTCAAAGCTTGAATTGGCGGGAGACTCCACCTCCGGCCGGGACCCGCCCCCTTGCAACTTGAGCCCGGAGGGATCACCCAGAGGCGCGGCCAATGCCCCAGAAATCCTGGGTCGAGGGCGGGTGTAGGCTGACTGAGGGTGGAGCGGTGCGTCCCAAGGCTGGCAGGGGCGGGCCTGAGCCCCGCAGCCAGCTCTCAGGGGCGGGGGACCCCAGAGTCGCTGCGGCCCGGGACTGGGAGCCCGATCCCAGAGTCGGGCAGTCGGTGGTGGCAGTGGGCTAGCCCGCGCAAGCGCCTCGCACTGCCCAGGTCCCAGCGGCCGGGCCCCAGCCCGCGCCCCTCTCACCGCGCACCTGAGCTGAGTTCCCTGGCGGCCGCAGGACCGCGCCGGAGCTCCGGTTCGCTTCCCGCGCGCCGCCGCCGCCAACGCCGCCCACGCTGCTGCCGCTCGTGCGGGGTCGCTGCCCAGGTACCGCGGGAGTCCAGGTCCGCGGTCGCCGCTCGGCCGGCCCCCGGCTGCAGCCCTGCCGGGGACGCGGGCCCGCGAGGAGGCAACTTTGGGTTCCCGCCGCCTTCCCCGCTCGCCCGCGGGCGCCGCTCGACTGCCGCAGCCCGTCCGCCCGCCTCCCGCGCGCGCTCACACTCGCGCCTCGCACACAGCCGCCCCCCGCACCGCCCCGCCACGCACACCGCGCTCCGCGCCCCCCGCCGCTGCCCGAGCTTGCCGCGCGCCTCCCCAGTCCGCGCCGCGCCCGCCCCGTCCCATCTCGTTCCCGCCGGGCGCCACGGTTCCCGGGTTAGTGTCCCCTCGGCTTCAGCCCGGCGGTGCAGAGGGCAGGGCCCGAGGGTGGGCTAGTGCCTGGCTCGGGAGACCTGGAGAGTCGCGGCAAGCGACGCCGAACCTCGCCCCCGGCCTGCTCCTGGACGCCCTGGGCGCGGGACGCTGCGGGCGCGGGGCGCGGGGCGCGGGGCAGCGGGCGCGGGGCGGCGCCGGCCCCGGGCGGCTCTCCCACTAGGGGTAGCTGTTGCCTGAACGCGGGAGCGCTCCCCTCTCGCCGCTTGCCTCGCCCGGCGCAGCCCCGGCCGCCGGGCGCACCCGTCCCGTTCGTCCCCGGACGTTGCTCTCTGCCCCGGGAACGTCGAGACTGGAGCGCCCGAACTGAGCCACCTTCGCGAACCCGGAGCGCGGCGGCCCGACTCACCGCGGAGGCGCCCGGACGCGTAAAGTGCGTACTTTCAACCGAAAACGTGTGCTGAGGCTCTTAGGGGTGCGGGGTAACTCCCCAACAATGCGTGGTCCTGGCCGGCCCTGCCGCGGCGGCGGAGACCTCCTAATCTGTCTCTGCGCGCGGTGCACTGCTGGCGACTTGGGTTCAGGGGCAGCGGGGAGGTACCTTGACCTGGGGTCCCCGAGACCCTGAGCAAGTCCCGCTTCGCTACATCTCACAGTGACCCCCCTCAAGGCAAGGCTTCAACCCCAAAGGCAGCGCCCGGGAACCGTACTGCCTAGAACACCTCTTCAATCGCAGGGGCTTCTCTGGGGTGATGGGACCCAAGCCGGATCCGGGGCTCCAGCCGCTCACGTCCCGTGCGCTGCCCTCCCAGGAGAGACCGGCTGCCTAACTTTCCCGGCCGAGACCTTTCTGCCTTTCCGGGCGAGTGGGCGTCGGCATCACTTTCCACTAGCCAAGGAACTTGTCCGGAGAAGTCGACCGCGGGGCAAGTGGCCCAGAGGGCGCGCAGGTAGGCGCCTGCCCTTGCCACCGGGTTTCCGCGGTCTCTGCCTGAGGATCCCTTCGCGGGCGGGACCTGTGGCTGCAGCAGCTGGAGCCCCAAGTGTACCTGGCTTGGAGAATAAAGTGGCCTGTGAATGTGGCTCTCTTCCCTCTGGGTCAGGGGGTTTCTCTGCCCTGTGGGATGGGGTGTATAGCCCAGCACTTTCCATCTGAGGGGAAGCCTCCTGTATTGTTCCCAGCAGCCATGGGAGGGTCTTTCAGGAGGACTAGGGAAATCTCCCGGAACATACTTGAATGGGGGGGGGTCCCACTCATTCTATCCCGAAGCAGGAGCTTCTCTGAGATTGAAGACCCCCCCGCCCCGCTTTCCCTTTTGGATTGGGATGGTAGAGTGAGAAGAGACTCTTGCTGGAGACTCTGAGAGGCAGATTGGGGGCTTCTGAGACCCTTTCTTGGGTAGAGCAAGAGATAATTCTCCTCAGTCGAAGTTTCCCTCATCTCTGGGAGACACCAGTCTAGGCGCATTCCCTGCCCCTTCCCTCAAGGACCTGGGACAGGGGTTTGTGGCAGGTCCTCCCCTTCCCACGTGTGGTTTCTGAAAAGGGCACCTGGGATATGTTCATGTGTGTCCGGGTGCGTGTTCCACGTGGCAGTCATAGTCTGGGACAGATGTAAGTCCAGCCCTGCTGGTCCTACTCTATGGGACAGCTGATCATCACTCCTTCCTGCTGTGGGACACCTGGGAAAGCAGCCTTCAGCCTTGCTGGGCTGATGTTGTGTGGGAACAGGCTGCACCCCACACCTCAGGGTTCCAGAGTACCAGGCCCCTTCGGCTCCTATGGCCTCCTGTACAGGTGAGGACAGACCCAAGGTGTGGTTGATCCTGCCTTTGGGACGCAAACCTGGCTTGGCGGCTCCCTACCCCTCCATCATCCCATCTCCACCCTGTTTCTCACTGCCCTCCAGGGCAGCACCCCAACTAGCCATCACTCTCTGCCTTCTTACCAGCTGCTTAGACTGTCTTGTCTTGTCCCAGCTGTCTAGAGAGTGAATCCTGGTGCAAGGCCAAGACCCACCTGAAGTCACTGAGATGCTTGGACCTCAGTGAACTTGGGAGGGGACCAAACTTGGGCGCTTCTCATGTTCAGGGGCCCAGGCGGGGCATACCCTGGGCCCTCCTGCCTACCCTTCTCCAGCTCCAGCAGAGGGCAGACAGGGGAGAGAAAAGGAGGGATATATTGGACCGGGTCCATTTGATGTCCTGGAACAACTCAGGGTGTGTGGGTGGGGGGGGGTGGGGGCCCTGGCATGACTTCGGAGGACTGGACTTCGGCCAACTTTCCGCTCCCAAGATCTGGGTCATAGTGGTCTGCCCGTGAAGGGGGTGCTTGGTGGGCCTGGCACTAACCCCTTGTCTCTCAGCCTCTGGGCGGGGCTGGTGTGTGGGTGTGGCAGGCCCAGTCTCTGCCTTTCTCTCCCAAGGCTGCCAGGAGGCTCCATGGAACTGGGTGGGTAGTGCCAGTGGTTTCTACATCTCCCAGCAGGGGTATCTCCTAAGCACTCATAAAGATGGATCAACCCCCACACTTAGAGAGGGTGTTGGAGAACGACGGTCTAGTGCCCTGGGTCTGGCCCCATCTCATCATGACTTGGTGGCATGGACTCGGGCTTCCTTGGTCTTCACAGTTGTCCCTCTTAATCTGCTTCCTCCCTGCACTGGCCTCTGGACACTCCGGGGGCTTCCTCCCTCCAAAATTCCACCATGGTGTTCCTGTTGCCCTTCTTTTTCCTTCGGGGTCCTCATAATCTTTCTCTCCTCCCAGAGTCCATGTCTGACCTGTCCCCCCTTCCCCATGTAGGGGAGGCCAGCCTTCCTGCCTGGACTGTCCTCAGCGGAGCACATGCCTTCTACCCGGCCTGCCCTTCCTCGGTGGCCAGCAGCCTATCCGAAGATGAAACGCTGTGTCTGCTTGGCAGACCTGCCCCTCCCAGGCTGACCCCACTGGGATCCCCTGGAGTGACTGCGGGAGGGGCCCAATAAAGCTTTGTGCAATGCGTACCGTGTATACTGTGGACTTACTGAAAATTCTGGCTTTGGGGGGGTTCAAGATGTCTCGTTCTGCCCTCCTCATGGCAGCGGTAAGCAAGGTAGGGCATGTTGGTGGCAGCAGGGTTGAGTGAGGTCACCTAGGACCTGCTCCCTGGAACATCCCCTTTGGGTGTGGCCTCCAGTGAACACACCCTTCCCCTGGCCACTTTACCCACTCTCACTGTCTAAGTGGAGCACCTTTCTAGGCACTGTGCTCTCCGAAGGAGGGGCTTAGCTCTCTTTACTGTCTGAAAGTGATCTCTTCCCTATACTTTTCTCCACTTCTGACTCAAAGCAGCTGGCACGGGCACAGAAATACCTCGAGGGGACAGAGTGACCGGAGATTCAGCACTGATCTTGGAGATTCAGGGTATGAATATCTGGCCAGTGCCTTCCTTGTGCTGTTGCTCCACAAATGCAGAAGGTTCTAGACACCTTGGATGATCTTGCCCTGATCTTCTTGGGCTCCTGTAAAATATCTGCGGGACTCACATTCTGGCCACTTGCTTCCAGTATGGTTTTTCCTGGCCTTTCCTGTCATAGCTTAAGACCCTGACCCTCCCTCCAACCTATTCCAGGCTCTCATTTGGTCCTGGGACAAGCAAGCATCCACCATGCTCTCTGGTACTGGGGTACAGGACAAGGGAAAAGGTCCCTTACCAGAAGCTGCCTGTGGGTACCTTGGGATGCAGGGCTAATCATACAAGGCAGATCCCAGCCTTCTTAGGGACCACCTTCTTGTGTTTTTACCACTGAGCGTCTCTGGAGAAAGGTGGGTTCACCAGCTATCAGACATGAATCCAGGTTCCTTTACTTCTGACAGGTCTAACATTTTAATGCATTGAATCACCATGGCATGGAAAAAATATAGAGTGTGTGTGTGTGTGTACGTGTGTGTGCATGCATACATTCATGGAACAAATGTGGAGCGCACGCATGTGTGTCCCTATATTCTTGTTCAGATTGAGTTCAGCTTCTTTCCCAGAAGGCATCACAAGTGAGATGAGAGTGTAAAAGCAGGAGTAAAGACACCTCCCATTTAGGGACAAAGTACAGCCACCACGAACACTGCCCTGACAACAGAAGAATCGCAGATTATTCCCTTAACATCCTGGTGGTAAAATCTGTCTGATTATGACACCAGAGGACCAATGGATAAACCTAGTTGTCTAACTGTGCCCATGCATGCCTTCAGGCCATGTTGGTCAGAAGCCTGGCCCAGGCACGGAGGCTCAGACTCCTTGAAGTGCAGCCGTCCAGCATGAGTTTATGGACCATGGGAAGAGAAGGCTCTTCATTTCCCACTGCTCATGGTGTGAAAGACAGCCTGAGGTAGAGACGCCCTTCTGAGATGTTTCTCCTCTGGGGGAGGACACACCGGACTTTGATTCTTGTTTGATTTTCTCTCTTACCTCCAAAGCAGAAGCCAGGACCCAGCAGGAGCAGGCTCACGATCGTCTTTCAGGGTGAATGCTTCTTGGGGCCTCGTGTCCTGAGGGCCTCTGTATATCCTGCCTCATGGTGCCTCCAGGATGGAGGGACTCTTCAAGGCAGCAGGGGCAACTGCAGGGACAGAGAGCGCATCTTCCCCATCCCCAGAGTCCCTTGGCACAGAGACAATGTACATGCTCCTTGGGAGGAATGGTGGCTTCCTGCTTGGCTCTTCTCTATCTGGGGCCATGGTCCCTGCCCCTGGACACCATGATACCCCAGGCAGACTCTGCTGCCTAGGTAAAGAGAGAGATGGGAGGTTGGGGGGTAGGCCTAGATCCTGCCTCTGATGTTTGTCTTTCAGTTTCTGGAAGCTTCTTCAGGCTCCCCTCGTTGATTTGGGGTTGTGAGGTGCAGGAGTTGTGAGGTTGGGTTGTGGTCTGATTCTAGTGGCCTCACCCTGTAGATTTGAGATGCCCCCTGGGAAATTCCCCAGGCAGAGGGATGGGGTGGAGGTGGGCTCTTCTTGAATCCCCTTCCTGCCTGGGGGATATGCCTGGGGGTGGTGACTTCATGTGGGACAAGAGTCTGTTTCACTTAAGTGCTTTAGTGTGCTAGGAATACAGTTCTTCAGGATGGTAGAAGCTCATTCCAAGTTACGTTTCAGGAGACGAGTGTAGGCTGCATTGCCTACTCCATGGCATGGACAATGAGGACCAAAGATGCTCTAGAGCTTAAAGTGCCTACTGTGTGCCAGGTGCTCAGCTGGGAGAACTTTCATGTGTTGATGAAACATTAGGGAATCTCTATGTCCTTTTCATACTCATATAACACAGGTTCTTCCAGGGGACCACTGCCCCAGTCCTATTAAGAGGTGGTACTGCCCATTTGCAAGTTGTCCATCTGTCTGCCAGCCTTTCTATTCATCTGTCCATCACCTATCTACCCACCCACCCAACCATCTATCTCCCCATCTATCCTTCATCATCCATCCATCCACCCACCCATCCTATCCTCCCATCCATCTGTCCATATATTCATCCGCCCATCCATTTTACCTGTCCATCCATCATCCACCCACTCATCCATTCACCTACTCATCCACCAGTCTGTCCATCTACTCACCTGCCAGCCCATCTGTTATCCACCTACTCATGCATCCTTTGTCTAGTCAGCCATTAACGTGTCTCTTTGTTCATCCATTTGGTACCCACGGTGTTTCAGCCGATCTGAAGGCCTAGACCAGCCCTCTAGTGATGGGCTCGGGTCTTCTTTGGAGGGGCGAGTGCTAGGAGACCAGTATGTTTTGGGTGTTATTGGCTCAGTGATGTCCCCAGAGCATGGACTAAGAGGTAGGGAGAGGACGGGGCTTGTAGACACACTTGGCATTATGGTCATCCTCGTATAGCCCGGTAAAGCCTGACTCTTGTTTGTCCCCTGTGGTCAGTGGCACAGGATACTGCTGCTTGTGGATGGATGAGTAAGAAGCCACAGCCTTCACAGGTCGGGGTGGAAGAGAAGCGGGGTGAGATCTAGGGTAGCATGGCCGCTGCAGTTCCAAGGGGCTTGGTTGAAGGTGGAGGGGTAAGGGGAGGTGCCTACTTGGGTGGAGGTGGTGGAAATGGGAGTGGGCACAGACACACTGACCGTAATGCCTTCCTTTGGGTCCTGAGCCATGGTGAGGGGGTGCTTAGCATTGCTTGCTCATGCACAGATCTGTTCTCTGGGAACCAACTCCCCCTCTCTCAAACTAGACCTTCTTGCTGTATGTCACCTTGGGTCCTCCAGGGATCCTGTTGCCCTGGAGATAAAAATCCAGCATCCCAGAATGCTTGAAACATTCTCCCAGAGACCTAGAAGGAGACAGAAGGCATGGATGGTTCCTAGGAGGGTGGCAAGGTTTAGTTTCAGCAGAACGCCAGCATGGGTTTGTGAGAGCTCACAGGGAGCACTTTACAGCATCAGTCCTGGGGTGGAGGGAAAAAGTCTCGAGTCTCTGGCACTATGGTCAGGCATACTGAAGGCCAGCATGCCCTGCTCTTGGGGAGACATCTGTCTCCATCAATGACTGACCATTGTGCCAGAGAGCTACCTATTGCTGGTCCTGAAGGCTTGAAGCTCTTTTTAGGGGCTCTGTGGTGACCCAGTGAGAAGGCTAGGACTTTGCTAGGCCTTTTAGGACTATGGATGCTGATAACGTCACAGTTCTGGGGTTCAGTCTCTGGAGCCAGTGGAATTGCTTCTTGGGGGCTCTAGACCTGCCACGGTCCCTGCCCATAGTGAGTAGTTCATGGGTGGGGCTTGGAAGGCCTGAGCACATCCCATGGAAGAGACTGGGACAGGATCTATGCAGAAATCTGTGCTCAGGAGCTGTTTAATGAATGGGGTGGGGGGGAGAGGACAGAGCCTCCTTCTAGTGCCAAGTACAAAAGGGTGGGGCAGAGCTGGGGGGGGGGGTAAAAGTGACAGGAGGGCTGCGGGAAGGGATGTACTGCGGGAAGGGAGGTTCATATCCCCACCCCTGCTCTGCCTCCCTCTCCTCCTCCCTCCCTCTCCTCCTCACTCAGACCAATTGGAAGGCTTTCACAGTGATGCCCTTACCCTATAGGTAACCTCGAAGGGCTGCCCCAACCAGGACCACAGTGGCCCGACTGTCTGCAGGCTCCAATGGTCCACAAGGCAGGGGCAGTGACTTCCCACTCCTGGGAGCCCTGGGCATCACTGGCGGTCAGGTGGGAGATGGGCAGGATTGTTAGAGTTGAGGGACTGGATAAATTCTAGACTCTGGGAGAGACCTTGTCCCTGAATGCTGTCACCTCCCCAAGACCCTGTGCAGGGCTGATGCTGCTGGGATCCTGTCATGTCCTGGAGGGATCCTGGGGGCACCTCTGTCCTCAGGAAGGGCTCTTTGGAGAGGCAAAAAGAACACATGTCTACACCTCCAGATTCTGAAAATGGATTTCTCCCAGGGAGCCAGAGACTCAGAGTGCTTCTCTCCCCTGAGCAGGAGCCAGGAAAACAGCAGGGGGCGGGGCTCAAAGAGAACTAGGGAGAACCCGCAGAGTCTGGAGGCTTGGATTCAAGTCCTGACGCCCACTGGTAGGCAGTGTGGCCTGGCTTTACCTCTGGACCTGGGTTTCTTCCATCCAGTAGAGCTGTGCTACCCCTGCCTCTTGGGGAATGCTCGGAGCGTACATCCTTGGTCATCTTCACCTGCCTCCAGGATGTCAGTGTCAGCCAGTTCCTGGAAAACTTTCCAAGCTGCATGAAAGCTCCTAACAGTGTCTGCTATTCTGAACCCCAAGTCCTTGCTGTGTGGTTTGCTCTCTTGGGGCTTGGCTCTTTCTAACTTTGGGACAAGAGTCTCTACCTCTTGAGGTCACTGGGAGGCTCCATGTGGATTTTGGGTGGCAGGGACTGTCTGTCCTGTGTGTGGCCTGGCTATGGCTGGGCCTTTCCAGCCCCTCCCTGGCCTCAACCAGCAGTACTTTGCAACCTCCTGCAGGAAGCCCTCCTTGCTAAGGCCTGACCCTCCCA